CTGTCATTTCCAAGTCATGCTGGAGCTGGCACGGTGCTCTGGGCACAGTCTACTTTGCTCCAATACCGCTCATAAAATCCCTGATAGGCACTGTTTCATAATCACTGTCAAACTGACTTTGTTTTAAAACACAGATCTGATCACATCACTGTCAACTCCAGATCCTTCAGTGGCTTCCTTTCCACAATGAAAATTTTCCAATTACTTAGCCTGGCTCTGAAGACCTCCTCCAGTTTGGTTTCTACAGTTTTGGAACATTGCTCCCCACAACACTCCGAAACTCCAGCCAAAGTGCACTGTCCTCACTCAGTTGTGTCTCAAACATTTGCCTGCATTCCTCTGCTCTGCCTTTGAAAGTGCCATCTGTGCTTTCTTCCTTTCATTAATTAATTTCAAAACATTAATATAGCAAAAAGTGTGTTGGGAACTGGGCTAGATCTGGGGAAAATCAGTGAATAAAGACAGAAAGGATCCATCTCTCAAAGCTTAGGACCTACTGGATTCTTAACGGCCAGGAAAAAAGGCCACACTCTGCACAATAAGCCTTCCCTGTAGAAAGAGAAACTCCCTTCTCTCAACAGCCACAGCACAGTGAGAAACCTCTGTTGCAGAAGTCATCAGAACGTGATTGAATTATAGTTACTGAGTCACATGTCTTATCTCGCACCCTAGGTTGTAATATCTATTTTTGGTAGAGAGTCTAAATATTTCAATATTTAGCCCTCACAGTTCTATGTACCATACCTCTCATATAATAAGACCTCAATAAATAATATTGAAATAAACAATTTCTCTCAGAGTCTGTGAATATGAGATTGAGGTGAGAGAGAGAAGCATGTTTCTCTCCCCCCACCCCCTTTCACCCACAGAGAGTGGAGGACAAAGGGAGCACATACTACACACACTCACACACACACACCAAATGGTTAACATAGCATTATTTTAGGCAACGGAACTCTCAGCTTATATTCAGGGTCCCCTGATATTTGCCTTCGTCCATTTGAAGAGTTTCAAGGTCAAAACTAGCCCAAGATCTCTGGACATCAGAGTACAAATCTGTTCAATTTGCACATTTTTCATGTGTCAATAAACAGGGAATAGAATTAGCATATTCTCCATATGGCCTGCTTTTCTGACCCCAGAACCAGGAGGATGCTAAACTCTGGACCATGAATCTAGGCTAGGTTGATTTTTTTTTTTTTAAGAATTAAGAAAATTTATGAACAGTTATATTTACTCTTTTTGGTATACAGTTGTATGAGTTTGACAAATGCATGGTTGTAGAATCACAACCACGATAATAGAACAATCCAATCACCCCCCAAAGCAATTCCCTTTGACTATTCTTTTGCAGTCATATTCTCCCCCATTCTTAATCAGTCATTTGCTTTTCACCTGTAGTTTTACTTTTTCTGGAATGTCCTATAAATATGGAAGTGCATAGTTGTTCAGCCTGGCTTCTTTAGTTAGTATAATGTATAATGTATATGAGAGTCATATGAGAGTGTTTTTGTATGTGTCAATAGTATATTCCTTTTTCTAGATGGGTAGTATTCCATGCATAAATGTGTCATTGTTTATTCATCTCCTATTTGAGGAACATCGGGAGTATTTCCTGTTTTTGGCCATTATGATTAAAGCTGCCATACATAGGTTTTTGTGTTACCATAGGTTTCTATTTTATTCAGGCAAACAGAAGTGGAATTGCCAGGATACCTGGTAAGTGAATTTTTAACTTTATAAGAAACTACCAAAATATTTTCCATGATGGCTATTCCATTTTGTATCCCTACTACTAATACATGAGAACTCCAGTTGCTTCATATCCTTGCCAACACTTGATATTGTCAGTTTAAAAAAAAAAAAAAACTACTATTTTTGTTTTGTTTTGTTTTTGTTTTTGACATTCTAGATATGCAGTGTAGGATAGAATTTTGAAACTTTATTTTTCAGAACCATTTTCATTCCCACATTAAGCCCACTCCACACTTCCTCCTCCTGTTGTTTTTTTTTTTTTTTCAACCACTTGGGTCTTTGTATTATCTTTCCTACTAGATTACAGAGTCATTCGTGACAAGGAAAGAAATCTTTGCCATCTTTGTATGTATAGATACATTGCCATCCCACCCCAAGTGCAGAAATTTGTAACAGGCAAATAATACACTTAACTGGAATCAATGCTTCTGCACTTGACACTAATGCATCCAAAACGTAATAGAGCATTGCCTAGTTGTATCAATTGTTGTGTATCAAATGAATTTTAATAAAACTATGTACTTTCCTCATTTTCAGGGATATTTCCATTTTTATTTGCTTTTGTGGCTATTTAAATTGTAGATTTGTCGGTTCTTCCTTTACTAAGAAGTAAATTATAAAAATAGTTTGGATGTTGAAAAATTTGAGTTCCAGATTTTTTTGTGCTTATATGAAAGATAATATTTTTTTCTTATTAGTACTTGAGTAAGAGACTATAACTTATTTATTTTAAAAATTAGAATACTAACTTGTATTTTTTATTGAGCTATAAATAACATATAATGTTTATTAGTTTCAGGTAAACAACAGTGATTTATTTGATAGTTATACTCCAAAATGATCTCAACAGTAAGTACAATTAACATTTGTAACCACACAGAGTTACACATTATTTTTATACTAGAGGCACAGTGCATGAAAATTCTGGAGGAGGTTCCTTCAGCCCAGCCTGCCCCCTCTCACGGTTCGGGACCCCTCAGGGGTGGGAGGCGACCAAGCGATCAGGGCAAGGTGATGCCCCATCACACCTGTTGCTGCCACTGCTGGCATCGCAAGCCTCGGCCAGCCCTGGTTACCTGGGCCTTCAGCGGCCCTCGGTGGCTAGGCAGCTGCCATCTGAGGCTTGCCTGCACCTCGGGCATTGGCTGGGCAGTCGCCTTGGGCCAGCCCTGGGCGGTTGGGAGGCAAAGCGGACTGGGGGACTCTGGAGGCAGGCACAAGGAATGACCGTGTGCCTGCCATCCCAGCGGGGCTGAAGGAACTGGGCGCCACCAACTTGTGGCTGTGGGCACTGCCATCTTTGATGACGTGGCAGTCAATTAACACATTCCCTCTTTATTAGATAGGATCATGAGAACTTTTAAGATCTACTTTCTTAGCAACTTTCAAATATGCAATAGAATATTATGAACTATATTAACCATGCTGTACATTACACTTCCAGGACTTATTTTATATTTGGAAGTTTGTACCTTTCAACCCTCTTCACCCATTTTGCACCCCAAACATTCTGGTAAATCACCAATCTGGTTCTCTTTATCTATGAGCTTTTTATTTATTTTATTTTTTATTTTATTTTTAGATTCCACATGTAAATGAGATCATGCAGTGTTTGTCTTTCTTTACCTGATTTATTTTTTTCAGCATAATGCGCTCAAGGCCTATCACTGTTGTCACAAATGGCAAGACTTCCTTCTTTTTTTGTGGCTGAATAATATTCCAATATATTTATTAATTTATTTATTAATTCATACATTTTATTTATTAATTCATACATTGATAGACACTTAGGATGCTACAGTAAATCATGCTGTAGTGCATTTGGGAATGTAGGTATCTTTTTGAGTTAGTGTTTTTGTGTCCTTCAGATTAATGCCCAGAAATAGACTTACTGAATCATATAGTTCTATTAAAAATTTCTTGAAGAACCTCCATGCTATTTCCATAGTAGATGCACCAATTTATATTTATAACAACCAGGGTACCCTTCACATGCTTGTCAACACTTGTTAGCGCGCGCTCTCTCTCTCTCTCTCTCTCTCTCTCTCTCTCTCTCTCTCTCTCTCTCTCTTTCCCTCTCTGTCTCTCTCTCTCTTTTGATAATAGCCATTCCAATAGGTATGAAATGGTATCTCTTTATGGTTTTGATTTTCATTTCCCTTATGACTAGTGCAATTGAACACATTTTCGTGTACCTTCTGGCTACCTGTATGTCTTCTTTGGGAAAATGTCTATTCAATTCTTCTGACTAGTTTTAAAATGGAATTGTTTGTGTGTTTTTTTGCCACTTACTTGCATTTCAATATGCTATTTAGGTAAGAGACAGGAAGTTGGAATTACAGGGGGATCCTCCTGTAAACACCATTTATCAAGTGAGCTGGGGCAAAAAAGAGGCTGAGCGTCACTGATAAAGACTCAGAGAATAAATGAAAGGAGTTCTCGAGGCTCTGTCAGCCAGCCTCCCAGCACTGCAGGACTTCTGGCTACAACAGCTGGTTGCTCAGCCCTGGAAGCTCACCAGTACATACAGGACCACTGCATACATCCTTGTAGGCAAGAGTCTCAAAACAAAATAAACAAAAGAAACACTGGGAAGGTAGCTGCTTTCTAACTGAGCCTTTGCTTTTCTCTAACATCATATGAACCTTCTGTAGCACCTACAGAAATCTAAAAATGGAGTTTGGAATCCATTGTGGTAGAAAATATGTTCATCGCTACAACACCCAGCCCTGAGCTGAGTTAATCTGATTAATTTTTATATCTCAAGATGAGATATATATATTTTGAAGAGATGAGTTAAGTGGCTTAAATTCCATGAATCTTGGAACTTTCCAAAATAGATATTTCTTCTGAGTTTTTAGTTATGAAATGTAAGTGAACAGACAACTGAAAGTTGTGTACAGGAAACCTGTGTAAATCTATAGAAGAAAATGTCTTAAACATAACCGATAGGCAGACTGGATTCCGAGTCCTGTGGCAGAAAGGAATCTTGCAGAATTCCAAAACAAGGGACTTTCTGGCCTTAGACATTTCTCTTTCTATTGGCTAGTTTTTGTGGTGATTTTGTACTGGGTGTCAATTTATCTCGGGTGGAAACCCATTCCCAAAACCATCCTTAGATGGTTCTTCATTATAGTTTGCTACCAGGGCAATTTGTGTGAGATGTAGAAGGCAGAGGAAGAAGCTGTGTTACTAGGCTCAGAGGGGTAGTGTGGTGCAGCAGGTGCTGTGTGCTATCAGCTCACCTTGGTGATGTCAGATGACAGTCAGGCTATGGCCTTTGCCTCTCACCAGATCCCCATCTCCAGCTACTGGCCTGGTGCATGAATAGTGTTCCCGTGAATAGTGCCAGCTCCTTCTATGGTTCTCCCAGGTCACTACTAGGGTTGGAGGAGGTAGGAATCCAGCACAGGCTCTGGTTTGTCTTGCAGGTTCCGTTAGTCCCTGCACATTCAGCTTTTCTTCCCATTGCCAGCTCTGCTAACCTACGATAATGTCAGGCCCAACATTAGATACAAAAGCAACTGCTTTCCATAGACTTCTTTACAAGCCCCCACAATTGTGAGAAGTTTGAAACTTATCCTATATAATAAAAGGGTAATATGCAAATTGACCCTAATGGTGGAATGGCCAGTTGCTATGACGGGCACTGACCACCAGGGGGAAGACATTCAATGCAGGAGCTGCCCCCTGGTGGTCAGTGTGCTTCCACAGGGTGAGTACTGCTCAGCCAGAAACCCTCAGTCGGAATCCCCCAAAGGGTCTCAGACTGCAACTCTGTAAATCATAGTGGTTCTGTTTCCAAACTGATACAGCTTACATTAAGTCTTTTGCATAAGTCTATGATCAGAATATGTACTTGGTTATAAATATTTTTTGTGTGCATGGCTTTCTTTTTGAAAAAAAAAACAAAAAACGATAGTCTCAAATGTAATAGTACTGATTTATTAAGCCCAAGTGTGTCATTTTACTTTACCTTTTTTTTTTTTTTTTTTTTTTGAGAAAGGGATTTGGAATATGCTCTTTTGCCCAATTCTCATAACTAGTGGGCTGGGAAATTAGGAGTTTGGTCCATAATTAGAGAAAAACTAACAAACTAATTTGAACTTTGGTGCAATTACTAGAGCTCAAAACCCCCAGAGCTAACTAGCTGTTTTTTTTTCAAAATGTTTGAATGTGACGCTTAGAAAGTTCTATCTACTCATGGAAAAACACAGACATTAAAATTTTGAAAACAATTTCAGTTAATAAATTTTTATCATAATGTATGTACATTGAAAATAGATAAATTCTGCCATGAGTGCTTACACCTCTTTAATGCTTCTTAATATAAAGATTTTATGGTCTTTAAAAATCAAGGATACATCTTTTCATCTTTATATCCTCCCATAGTGACACACAGATATGTCCTTATTAAACATCAATTGAGCTAAGTAAAGAACAAATTTCAGCTTCCTGTTTTTTACAAAAGAGAAAAGAACAGCAGTGTGTGAGCAAACAACCACAACCAACTGCATCCTCTGATGCTTTTCTCACTGTTGTATGGAAACTCCAGCAGGAAACCACAGCTATATCCTTTTTACTGCTATAGAGAATTATTATGAATTACTGGCAAGCATAAGACAGCTCTATTAACATTACATAGATGATTGTGACAGTTCATACTTACCACACTCAGTCGCTTTACAAAATTTTTGCTGTTTCTAAAGGACAAATTCCCAAGGAAAAATATTCATAATAATAGTTATACCTTAATTACCTGTGGGCAGTAAATTACATAAAAAACAACAAAGGCCATTGAAATTTAATTCCTCCTTCAATGTAACTGATTTTTAAAACCCTGGTTAAGTGTTAAAATTCCCCATTTGACTCAGACCTATTAAAGCTTCTAATTAACCCACAAAGGTATTACCCTCTATTAAAAAATAATGACAGTGCTAATTTGTCCCCCTTTGTATTCAAAATGGCCCAAGAATTAGACCTTTCTAGTTAGGAAACATAGAAACCCCTTTGTCCATTCTCATGTATAATCCCATTCAGGATTTGTACCACATATGTTTTAAATTTGTAATATAAGCCTTGAATGTGTTTTTATCAATGGAGGGACTTTCCATTGGAGATCTCTTAGTCATTCAGGAAGTACAAAGAAAAGATTATGGCAGAAGTCCAGGGCTTTCAAAGGCTTTAGCTTCAATGAGAATCACAGACATTTAAACTCATTTAACACAGAAATCAGAGTTAAAAAACTCTGTAATCTTTCCTGCATGCCCATCTTTCTTGGTATATAAGTTCAACATAGGATGCTTGTGTCATGAGTACATGTGTGAATGAATTAATGCATAAATGCTTGGCAGTGATGAAGATAAAGAGGAGATAAGAAGGTTCTCTCTAAGTTAGGAAAAGGCTGAAGAGACCTAATTCAGAAAAAAGGCCTATGATAGAAGGAATAAAATGCAGAACTGTTAAAAAATTTTTGAACATTAGAGCTAGAATTGATCTGAGGGATTTTTGGACTAACCCGTTCATTTCTAGAGAAGCTGAGGTGCCTAGGGCAATGACATAATTTCCTGTGCCACATCCAGATTGTGACATTGTGTACCTCTTTCATGATTTTTGCCTAATGTGCTTCTTATCTAAACCATCTTTTACTTAATGTTTTTCATTCAATTGACTGTAACTGGTACGCTAGTTAAAAATGCTAGCCTCGTCTTAAGAAATGTTATCTGTAAAATTAGGTTTGATGTGCCAGTAATATATTTTTTATAAAGAATATTTTTAAATAGACTTTCAAATTTATTCTTACGTTATATTAAAATAAAATCATAACTATTAAAATAAAAAATAAATCTATATACTAAAATCATCTCACAGATCACTGATGAGAATCCCCTACATTTTTGAAAAGCAGTGAATTCTACTGTGCCACCCCCTGGAACAAAGAGTTCAGATTGTGGAACAAGACGAAGAGGTAAAAACATTCCAGATTGATGACAGGAGTCCAGTAATGAGACTCGTGCCCTAGCCAGTTTGGCTCAGTGGATAAAGCGTTGACCTGGGGAATGAAAGGTCCTGGATTTGATTCTGGTCAAGCCCAGGTTGTGGGTTTGATCCCCAGCGGGAGGCAGGCAGGAGGCAGCCGGTCAATGATTCTTTCTCATCATTGATGTTTCTATCTCTCACTCCTTGTCCCTTCCTCTCTGAAATCAATTAAAAAAATGTATTAAAAAAAATAAGATTAGTGCTTCTTTTGTCTTTTTTTTTCTAGAATAAAAGCAATTGCTTATCAAGGAACTAAAAAAAAAATCAAGGCAGAAGTCATGCTTTAAAAAACAATTAGTGGATTTTCATTTTCAAAATGGACAGAGCTATGTATATTCATCATCCTTCCAAGTACCATTAGTTTATTAGAAACTAGTTTTAAGAAGGAATGTGATCCAAACGGGCCTCCTCTACATAGATTACCTTTTACCTTGCCTTCTATTTGTAACTAGGACACTTAGCTGTGAGCTATAATAAGGAATTGCTCAACTTTCATAAGTAAATGAAAGTCTATGATTAAAACATCAATCCGGAAACACTGGCTCTATAAATAGTTTCTAAGTCCAAAGTCCACAGGTTAAACACAGAGTCATGCCTGGTTTTTCTTGTTATATGTGTATGTGCATATGTGTAAGTGCACGTGACTTTGTGATATGTAGTTGGTTTCTCTTTTGAGAAAGAAATATTTTTGGCTGAACATATGTGTCATCTGGATATTTTTTAAAAATATATTTTATTGACTTTTTACAGAGAGGAAGGGAGAGAGATAGAGAGCTAGAAACGTCGATGAGAGAGAAACATCGACCAGCTGCCTCTTGCACACCCCCTACCAGGGATGTGTCTGCAACCAACGTACATGCCCTTGACCGGAATCGAACCTGGGACCTTTCAGTCCGCAGACCGACACTCTACCACTGAGCCAAACCGGTTTTGGCTCATCTGGATAGTTTGATAAACTGTTTTGTTTTCAATTGCACTGCCTATACAATTATTTATAAAGTTTTAACCTAAATTGTCCTTGAACTTACCCTGTTTGTTTAAAAAATGACTTGTCACTGAATCAGAAGCTTTCACATTTGGTTTTTAAGCAACACAATATGAAATCCAAGATAGGGTAAATCAGTCTATAAAATCCTGCCTATTTCTCATATTTTGATCCAGTGTTCATAGAATTTAAAATTTTTATTTATTGATTGATTTTGAGTGAGAGTGAGAGAATGAGAAAGAGAGAGAGAGAGAGAGAGAGAGAGAGAGAGAGAGAGAGAGAGAGAGATTTGTTGTTCCACTTATTTATGCATTCATTGGTTGATTCTTGTACATGCACTGGCTGGGGATCAAACCTACAACCACGGTGTATCAGGTCTATGCTCTAACCAACTGAGCTACTCAGCCAGGGCCATAGAACTAATTTTAATAATAGTGTACTATAGTACAATGGTGAAGCATGTGGCCTTTCAAGTTGGCCAACTCTGAATTTGCCCAGCTTTGACAATTACTATGTTTGGGGCCTGGGCCAAGTTATTTAATATGCTTCCTAATCTCTAATATTGGGAAAATAATAGCACAAACCACATAGATTTGTTAACAGGGACACGACTTGTTTTAGTATGAAGCCATTGGAAGAGAAGTCTAAAGAATGAAGTTTTTAAAAGTGGAGATTGTTAACTCTATAGACCTACTGTCTCTCCATAACCCATTTCCTTACAATGGAAGGCAGATGTATAAAGATAAATGTATTCTGGTTCTCTCGTGCCTTAGAACCCGGATGGCAAAGTACCATGATTGGCTCCTTTATTTCATGTCACCCTTTACTCCACTTTACTTCCTCGTTCTCCACGTGTTCGGTTGTCATTTGTTCATTTCTACTCATCATCATTAGTTCTGTAATCTAAATATCCTTATGTTCTCACATTTCCCATGTGCTGCTACATTCTGGGCAGCAAGGCAAGGAAGTTCACCTCTGAGTTGGAATAAATACATAGAGATGCAATCATTCACCAGTCATTCCATAGACCCGGATTACCACTTGAACTTTGAGGGCCCTAATCCTGGAGAGGAAGTCTAGGAAAAAGTGTTGAGAACCACCTTAGAAAAGATAGCATGAGGGCTTGGAATATTTTACTGAGTATCTATGAAAACAGCTGAGTATTTTCAGTACTTTGAAATGGGTACATTACTCAATAATGATTATCTCTCAAGGTTGGAGGTGATCCCTGAGAATCTAAGCAATAATCTAAAAGTAGCTTTTAAACCATCTTCAAATACACTAGTGTGTCACAAAGCAAATATGAGCAATGATAAAGTACCAATGACAAGTGATTTATTAAGATAGTAATGTAGAGCAGTTTCTCTATCGATTATGCTAATCTTGATCAGAAAGTGATTTCTATAATAATGTTGCCCTCATTCACTGCACTTATACTGGTAGATGTTTTCCTTGAATAGA